GTGTGTGTAAGAGAAAGAGGGTAAGGAGGAACGAAGAGTGGGGTAAAAAGAGAGAAGAAAAGGGAGAAAAGAGTTCTCTTCGATGGCAAGGCGTTCGGTGTTGCAGGCAGCGGCGGCATAAATCGGTCGAAGGGAAAACTTTTTGGGCGCGGAGTTACCAGTCGGTATCTCCTCTCCGGCCGTGTATGTACGTACACACATATGTGTATGCGGTTTTATCTGGCGGTACTCGGGGATGTTGCGGGTTGATTTATCGCCTGTCGTTGCCATGGAAACCTCGGCGTGACCGGCTTGCGCGACACCCTCATATCCGAGTCGACTCTCTGCTTTACCCTCTCTATCTCTCTTGTCTCGTCTCCTCTCTCTCTCTCTCTCTTTGTCTCTCTTCAGCGCTCCCTCACGGTACGCTTTCATTCGTACCCTTTTCCTCTAGGATCCGCCGTCCGTTTCTGTCTCGTTCGCTTCCAGCAATGCCTATCTGTTCAGCCTATCTCCCTCTTTGTCTCTCTCTCTCCTTCGTTCCCTTCCTCGCCCCGCCAGTCTTTTACCACTTCCTCCTGCCTTTCTCCTTCTTCGAAATATGTATATTCGGGCTACGTCTCTCCTTATTGCATTCCCGCTCTATTTGTCTTTACACCGTATCACTGTCCCTGTTGTCTCTTCCATCTCCGTTCATCCTTCCCCGTGTTTCTCACCTTCCGTCTCAACGTTTCCCTTTCTCGCTTCCCATCGCCGACCGACTACTCTCTCGCCCGTGTACACCACGTATACCCACTTGTCGTCTCTCTTTCGCTCACCCGCCCTCCTCCTCTCGTCGCTCTCTCTCTCTCTTCCTCCCTAGACCGCGCAGCTCTCTATCCCACTGCTCGTTCATTTATCTCCCTCTCATCGTCGTTTCCTTCCTTTTTCCATTCCGCCTTTGTAGCCTCCCTTTCTGCCTCGTTCTACCACCGTCTACGTGTCTCTCATACCCCGCAAACGAGCGCCAACCCGTCGTCTTTCTCCTTTCTTCGTCGTTCCTTTTTCCCCTCGATACACCCGATGGCTTCGCCCGCTCACCCACGCCTCGTCCACCCCACCACCGCGGCCTCTAACCTCCCCGACCGCCCTTTTCCACGCTCCTTGCTCACGTACATACGTCGTGTCTCTCCTCCCTTCAGCCTCCCCCAAACCACTTAGCCGACCGACCAACCACCCATCCACCTACCGCCTCCACCTCACGGCTCACCCACCCTTCTTCTTCCTTCCTTCCACCCACTCTCATCTTCCCTTCGATATGCACCCCACGCTACTATCAGCTTCTACTCCCACGCGCGAGCTTGAAACCCCCCAGAGGAACGTCAAGGAGGCGACTACCGGTGGAGTTCTCTGCAAAGAACGAGAACTCCGCCGCCTCTCCTCGCCCTCGCAACCCCACCCGACGCCCGCCATGTCCTCAGCCGCCACCGCCGCAGCACTCTCGCCGCCTGCAACAGCCCCTCGTCGTTTTTACCTCCTCCTCCTCCGTCGTTCGCGCTATCCAATCGAGTGTCGACTGGCTGCTGCTGGCTGGTGCACGTTTGCGCTACTGCACGGGGCCTGATCGTTCCGCGCGATCTAGATAAAGAGCGTTATCTAACCGTGCGGCTAATTAACCGGCCTCCTCTCCTACAGTTATCAGCCGGAGAGTATACTTTCCTTTCTTCGCCACTCGATCTGACTGCTGCTAACCGATCTAGCAGACGCCACTTTTCGGACCTACACGTCTTACTCTGTGGAACATGTTTTTACCTAGGCTCCGGGGGGATTCCCTATGAAACTCGGTGTTTCTTTATCGACCGAGTAACGGTTTCCATGAAATTTTTGTAATTGTCATAGACGAGGAGTAATGGAATAGATGGAAAGAAGAAAATTGTATTTGTGAAATGCAAGGATTTTTTTAACGAATGGTAGGAAATGTATATCGCGGTTGATTGTATTACCGGCTGAGGATAATATCGAGCACGCTGGCTCGTCCTTGGCGCCTCCGGTCAGAGGAGAGAAAAATTCCCTAGGGAAAAAATGTGGCCGCGGTGGATTGGCAATTTTGTTGGAAATCTGGTGGTAATGGTTCGCGTGAACATCGAAAAGTTCAACTTAAATGTCGACCGGCTATTCTATGAATCGAACGCGCGCGGGCCGGTGCGTGACTGAAGAAGGATCGATTGGCATATGCGGGTCTAATTAGAGATTCAGCCGAGAATTACGAAACCCCCACCACGGGTTAGATTACTTTCTTGAAAGACGAGTTTCATAACGAGTTCAATTACTTTCACGAATAATGTTCTCCCCCCACGTTTACCAACTAGCTGGCCAGCTCTCTCGCGCAAAACAGCTAATTACTGCATCTAAGAATTTCCGCAATGACAATCTTTGCACGACGCTGGCAAAAGCTGATTTTAATCGATAGAAATCCTTAACTTTGTCTTACGTTTAGTCTTGTCTCATTTTTACATTTTGTTGCATTTTTTTTACCGTGACATTTATAGTTTTATTTTTTTAATTTCTAATTTAATTATCTGTATACTTAATGCGACAAATTCTCACCTAAACACAGCCATTTTGGAATCTTTAGTAGAATAAAATAAGTACTACGATACGTGTTTTCGTTTCAAGAATTAAGTATAGATACTTGGAGAATAGAATTAGACTGAAAAACACGTAGACAGGAATACTAATAATTATACAAGAGAAGCATGCTGCATTACCGACACTTGGTAAGCCAGTTACACCAAGATAATCCACATCTTGCAGATTCTCATTTTCCATGGCTAAACATTTCCCTCCTCGTTAAATATTGCATTACACTCGTAAACCATATCTTACGACCGAAGATTAGCAAACAGACTATACAAACCAAACGAACTATAGAATTCAGTAAAGAAGAAACACACTCGACCCGTACGAACCTTACGTCGATACACGTGTATCGATTTCTATCATTAAACTTTCAGAAACGGCATATAATTTCCCCTCGAAACAAACAAACACCATTATCGAAGAAATCTAATAAAGCTGACCGTATCTGAGCTATACAATCCACCCACTCTATTAGCTTTGAAAATCAATAATAGCGTGTAAAGCAGGAGAATCGATTCCGACCATCAAACAACTGGTATATAGAATTGCACATTGGGTCAGTGTGAAAAACTGCGAGAGACTTTTCGAAGCAAGTGAAACAGAGGAATAGAAAATGGAGAGGTGCAATTACAAAGGGTCCGGACGATATCACGAAAGACAATAAAGGTTGTGTCAAAAGGGAAACGAGAGAAAATATAAGGCGAGGGCGTTAGACCGTGGCGAAGAGAATATTCCCGAGCCTTCGTTGTCGGTCTCATTGTTATCGACCCGCTGGTATTCCCCGGCGTCATTGGTAGCAGGATCACGTGGTGTCTATCGCCTTCCAACCAGTCAGCTCTCTCGTACAATGCACACCATTGACGTAACTTTAAGCAGTCCTGCGTGAAAGGTCATAAGCGCAACTCGAGTATAATCGACGCCTTTTATGCTTTCTCTCTCTCTCTTTCTCTCTTTCTGAAATCCTTGTCATTCAATTCCCGCCCTATGTAAAAATGTCTCGATACACGCGCTCTCAATTGGAACCAAAATCGAACGAATAAAAGGTACTTTTGCAGGAAAGTAAAATGGGTCTCCCCCTTTGCTAGAGTCAATTATTAATTTCGTATCGGATAGATGGAAGCACTTTCGTACGATGAAAAGATGATAAACCAGCATGAATAATCCTCGGAATCTTCTTGAATTCGAAAAATTTGAAATTTTCTTTTTTCCAATATTTTATTCACCCATAAATAAATCTCGAATTATCTCTGGGAATAAAATATACGTATCGTACGAACGGTATAAAAATTTCACATCCCAATGTGTCTCCACGGTGTTTTCTTTCCGTGCACAATTTAATTAACCGAGACAATGGCCGACTATCGAGCTCGCGGTGCACGCAGATGCAAAGCAGGTTGCATATAATTAGGCACAGCATGGAAAATAACACGATAGCCAGAGCGCTTTTGATATGATAATTAACAACGTGACTACAGATTCGAGTCGTATGGACAGAAAATATAATGGATTTCGTTCTCCACCGACATTATACACGCAGACTCATCGACAAACGTTGCTTCTTTTTTTCCTCCCATTCTCTCGGTCACGCACGCTGCTATATATAATTTGCATACAGATGAAACGACACAATGCTCGAAATAATGTCACACCTGTTACGAAAGCTACTTCTTTATTTAAAAAATTCAAACTAATTTATAAATAACGCTAAATATCTCTTCTGTATATCCGATGAAAAGTAAATTTCAACCCTTCGACTAAAATCCAATTTTCCCTTCTTTTTTTAATTACCACATATCTCATTTTTACCCGCTGTTGGTAAATTATCGTTACTATTTTTTTTTGCATAAAATTATCCTCGTTTCCATGGAACAAAGAATCGCGATAAGGATGCGTGTTATCAGTCAGCTGGGTCGAAATATGGCTTTCAAGGAGATGTTATAGAAATTCACGGCGAACGTGAATAGGTCAAGCTTGAATTTTTAACGATCCAACGTCTCTGGTGTGTCTATATAAGTCGGAAGGAAAATTCGATGGAAAATGTTGCCCGTGTCACTTCACAGCTAAACTGTCTTACCGGCGAGTTCGTTATGTCGCGCTACATCACATGGATTGCTGCTTTGCTCATATTGATCGGATCTGTTTGGTCACAGGTTAGAACTGCCGCGGTATTCGTATCTCGAGAGCTCGATTATATAAGCCTAAACAATTTCTGCTAATAACGCCGCGATTGATACACTTTTTCATACAAGTTGTTTTACGTGAAATTTGCTTAAACATGTGTTACACTCTTCAGGATTGTGTTGAGAATTTTTACGATGAATATTAATGTTTTTTTTTTTTTTTTTACTCGATAGGAACAGATTTTAGACGATACATTGAGGGAATCGAAATTTGGTTTTGGTATTTTGGAACCATTGAGAAAATCATTTTGCAATACTTTTTGCACGTCGGTAGGCGCAGCGTATGTGGTGAATCTTGCCTGTGCAGTAAAGTGTCCAGAATTGTATCTACCTCATGAAACTACGACAAAATCAACCACAATGCTATCGAGTTCGTTATCAACGTCATCGAGTTCGTCGAAACCAACGGAACAAACGAATACACCGACTACCGCAGGATCGACGACACAATCAACTACGACGACGACGACGTCGACAACGACACGTCCTTAGAACCCTTTATTTTGCAATGTACCGAGCAAGTTTTTTTTTTGTGGTAGTAATTAATATAAGTTGTTTCGAAGCATATTTTGTATGTAAGTAGTTATTATAGCAAGTTAATCGTTACTAACAATCTGTGTATCAAACGAAGTATTTACTTCTATATTTTATTTTTTGATAGAGTGGAGATTCAGATGGATTTTTTTAATTAATAGAATTTAACCCAGTTTTTGGATGAGATATTGTTACAATATTGTTAAAAATTGTGAAATTTCTTGGAGATGTAGGTATATGAGAAAAAAATAGTGTTTGGAAGTAGAATTTTTATTAAGTGACGAAATAATAATTTTGAATTTAGTTACTATTGATATCATTCTGTCACTTTTGAACTTCGTTTTCAAAGATTTCTAAAATTCGTTTTTACTGTGGCGTAGGATGTACGAATATACAATTTTGTAAATTTCTGTATTGTTGAATAAATCACGATTTTATCAGAGAATATCTCAGTTCTTGTATCAATTCCTTGCCAAGTCCTGGACCTATACGCGGGATGGCGTTACCGAGCTGATGTTCCACTCCACGTTAATAAAGATTTCTGTTTCAACTAGCTCGTGTACTTTAACCACAGCTGATATCGATGTAAGATCGACGAAAATACAAATTTTCGAAAAATTCCACTTCCGAAACAGAAATGCAAATTTTCGAAAAATTCCATCTCCCAAGCAAAGGTAAAAATCTTCTAAGAATTCCATCTCAAAGAAAAATACAAATCTTCTAAAAATTCCATCTCCCAAGCAAAGGTAAACATCTAAAAATTCCATCTCCCGAAGAAAAATACAAACTTTCTAAAATTCTATTTCCCAGACAAAAGTAAAAATTTTCTAAAATTCCGCCACTCAAAGAAAAATACACAGTTTCTAAGAATTCCATTTTCCAAAGAAAAGTAAAAATTTTCTAGAATTCCATTTTCCAAAGAAAAGTAAAAATTTCCTAAAAATTCCACTTCCCAAGTAAAATTTCCAAAATCGTATCATGTGATAAAATGTCGAATAATAAATCTAAGCCTGTGTCGCACACAGACTTAACAAACAGAGATAAGAAAAGAGCAATTAAATATCAACTATAATACCATAAAACATTCGAATTAAACCTCGAACAGCGAACACCCAGACAAAATAGAATAAAATTCAAAGGTTGTCACAGGCACTCTCCGAAATTCCCAAATTCGAAATCGGCACCGGTTTAAATTTAAATCGACCAGACGTTCTCCATTCGGCTAATATAATGGGACCCTGGTCATTTCTATTCTATCACACGTACGGCAACGACACTCGTCGCGCATTACGAGAGAATATGGAACCGCTGTTTTATCGTCGCCTGTGTTCACCCCCATTGTAGAAAACAGGGGGGAGGGGGGATGGAGACGGAAGGGTGGGTTGGCCGATGTACAAGGGAAATATACGCGGAAAAGGGAAGAGTTTTCCCGTCCTTTCATTCCAGATTTATCGTCGTTTCAACGCTTCTGCTCTGTCCCTGTGTACACCCATTCTAATTAACGACCATCGCCTTTTACGGTGTTAATTCTCCCGTGTTCTCGGTGTAATTCGGCCACACCGTGGCTCATTGTGCGCTGCGTGTATGCAGAAAGTGAGAGGACCCACGCTCCTCGTAATAGCTCGGACACGATTACTTTCCCAACCAGAGCAAGGTCTTATTTTTTTCGCGCCCGGATGCGTTCTTCGACGAGGGGTTGCTTCTTTTCGAGGAGAAATTTCGTCGATGAGTTTGCCACGATTTACAGTGGACTGTTACACAGAGTTATGGTATATGGAGTAATTGAAAAAGTTTGGCTGGGTTTTCTCCGATTTAACCCCTTCTTTGTTCCTTCCTCGAGAAATTAATTTCGTTCTTCTTTTTTATCCGGAAGCTGGTTATTTGAAATTTAATTTAATTATTTTACTATTTAACTATTGTGTCAATAACCACAATTGTCTACCTCACGGTCCAAATTGGTAGTCTTCCGATAACAAAATTCTAAACTTGAAGCAAGCACGGATATTTTGCAAAGAATGTGCAAAAGGCTGCCCAATTACTGACATAATCGAAATATTTTAAAAATTATCATTAAAACAAAAATTCTCTTCGTAAAACTGAAGACTCTCCAACTATTCATTTATCAACGATTAAAAACATATTTCTATCCCTCTCCTATAAAATAAAAAAAGCAATCTTCCTTGAAATACTACTATCGAAGTAAATGAACTACATTAATAAACACCACTAAAAATCCTTCAACCTCTTCGTTCCCTAAAACTGAAGGCTCTCCGACAATTTCAAATAAAATACAAACGATTTGTGTTCAAACCTCGACGTACCTCCTCGAAAAAATAATTGACTCCTGAAGAAAGAGGAAACCAAAGGCTAGAATCGTGGTCGAACGATACCGGGCAAGTTGTCAGGCCGCAGGACGTCGGGCAATGGACATAACAGGATACAGGCGATACAGGATACACGAACTAGACTCGCCTACTGTGAATCACGCGGCGAGCAATGCAAAAGAATGAAAGTTCCGTGAAGTCGTGTGTTCGCAGAGACTCGATTCTCATATTCGAACTGCACCACGATGATATTTCGATAATACGATACGTCAGGACAGCCGCTTGAACCAAAGACTCGCCTGCAACAATCAGCACGTTACCTTCACGCAGGATATTGTTTCGCGATTTTTACAATTCCAAAGGTAAAACACCTCTCGATGAAAATTGGACGTTGCTCGAGCGTAGAAAATTCGACAGTCTTAGATGACTTGAACCGAGAGCAGCTATTTATACCGTGAATTATGGCACGGATAGTTTCGTTCGGTCTTGCTCGGAACATAGGTTCTATACAAGTTTCATTTCATACGAGACGGAGGTGCTTGAACCGAGGAGAGACCTGATTGTCTTAGAGATGGAAAGAAAAGAAGAAAAAACGATTCGTCGAGGTTCTATTTCGAGCAGAGGAAAATATTATCCCGTAGGCGAAGGCGGAATTTCATTCCAGCTGTTGCAATCTTCTGCAGAAGTCGAGGACACGTTCGAAGGTAAATAGTAGGCGCGGGAACGAGAAGAAACTTCGACCGACTAGAGCTCTTAATCTTCAATTCTAAACTTCGATACACTTTCTCTGGTTCACCAGCGAATATGGTAAACGTGTCGACGTTTTTCCGGATTGCAACGACTTATGGTTCACGTATTAACATATTTTTTTTAAATTTGGAAATTTAACGTATCTCATAATCAGTGAAATTGCCAATTTACGAGGATGCCACGTTTTTCTTTTATAAATTAATAAACTCAAACTCTTGGCACTCCTGGAATCTGGGGACTCATTTTTTTAACTTAGTTTAGTGCTCCTGTACATTTATTTTAAAAAATTTAAGTTGCTATCCTTGGATTTCAGGGACTCATTTTTCAAATGTAGATTGGTGCTCCTGCATGTTTATTTTAGGGACTTTTATTTTAAATAATTCAAGTTGGTATTCCTGGAATCCAGGGACCTTTATTTTCTGAAAGAACGAGATTGGTACCACTGTACTATTTTACCAATATTCTACCACAGAGCAGCCAATTTAATTACGAATTATTACTTTCAACTTCTCGCCTATTACAGTGAGAATTCCAATTGCAATGGACTACAACTGTTTTTCTTACGATTAAATTACACTAGCATTTTCTAATACATTCTGCACCAATTAACAAATCTGATTGCTCGTTACGAACCTTCCCTAAAAGAAATTCCCAGCAGCTCCCTTAACCCTTTCGCGACCGAATTACTCGATTTAAGAAACTGTTATTTATGCACCGAAAGTCGCGTCAATAATGGATGCTGAAATGAGATCGATCTTTTTATTTAATATTCAAGTGGGACATACGCGGTCCCGCTGGTAATGAAAGGGTTAATTCCCACGTAAATACAAATTGCCAGTCTCTCTGGGTAATCGCTGGGGGCATGCTTCGAGATATGTACCGCCTCGGTGGATAAACGAAGTGAAAACGAGATTAAAAAGAAACGAAGGGACGACGACGGTGAACACGAAAATCATAGTTCGCAGTGCGCGCCAGTCAATCAAACAGTCTGGGAAACGTTGGGAACCGGTGACTATACTTGGAATAAAACTAGGTCAGAATACGCAACGCTACGGTGGACTAAAATTCCCTTCTCCCTCTCTCTCGTTTGGAATCACCAAGATCTCTCTCTCTCTCTCTCTCTCCTTCCTACCGCCGATTCCAAGCTCTTGCCTCGAGACTGCACAAGAGAGCCTCCTCTCCTGGCTTCTGGCTCTCAGCTCGATACACACAAACTCTTCCGAAAGACAAACGAGCCATTTAGATTTTTATCGTTCGATGCACCGATAAACGCGCCGCAATCCCCCATTTTTTCGAGCCTCTCGTTCCCGTCTTTCTCCAACGTTGCTCGCCGACAACGAGAGACAACGGCGAAGGAGAAAGCTCCTCCTGGAACAATGGTCGCGAAAGTAATCGCGATACGAGACCGATCTGGACAAAACCTGGCAAATTACCGCTACAAATAACCAGCTGCCGAGCTACGATCCCTAAAATATAACCTCTCCGAGGTGTTTACTGCTCTCTTGGCGGTGTACTAACCCTTTCGCGATGGAATCTTTTCTTCTTTTTTTTTTTTTTAAGTTCTTATTTATACGCCAATCAGCGGGATTTTAATGGATGATAAAGTCAGATCAATTTTTGCTCGAGTATGCGCTCAAGCGGTACATTGTGTTTCAATGGCGACGAAACGGTTGATCCTCGAGTTACGGAGAAATTGTGTTGCTACTGAACTTTATTCTTTTCTTTTTTTTGTTAATTAGCGAGATTTTAAAATATTGTAAGATAGATAGATTTTGATAATTAAAAATTTGATAATTGAAAAATTCTTTCCTTGAAATTTTTATTATTGATTCTTACAGTCTTTTTTATTTCAAGTCTTCAATTAGGAATAGAGTGGAACGAATT